CTCATGTCAGGCCCTACTCCAGACTAACCTTTTTTCATTTTTTGGGATTTTCCCCCCCATTTCCAAGCATTTTAGACTTTCTGGCATAAGACATGGGCCATTTTTGCCATTTTAGTCCTCAGACCTCTGCCCAAAATTGCACCATTTTTAGACTTTCCAGCATGAGACATCTGAATTTTTTCCCTAAAATTAGGAGATCTAGCATATAACATTTCCTAGGGCTTTCCAGGGTCCTCTTGTATAACTCGGCTCGGACAGGTCTAAGCTTCGAGTCCATGGGAAAAAGAGATCTCCTGACGTGCTCCAACAGCCCGCTGGAGTTGACATCAAATTTAAGTGCAAATTGCTCGACGTCCATCTTGCCTGCCTTCCTGTAGGATTCATCAAGAACATCTTCATGTTCATGACCAAATGTCGCTTTGGCGCAGGCATCAGCAAGAGCTTCGAGCTGGGCTGCCGCTGTACTGGGGAATTTGATGCGCCTGGGTCCAAGTAACCGGTAAGTGTCGGAGAACATATAATCAAGGTGGAGAGAATCGTACCTGGCCCCGTCGTCCTCACCATAGAATAGAACAAGGTCGGCGGGTGACGCTTTCCAAATTCCGCTGCAGAAAACAGGGTTGTTATCATGCTCAGATAGCGCCTGCGCCAGTTGTTTCTTTATATCAGCGGCGGAGGGGAGAGGGTCAAAAAGTTGGTGGGCTTCGGGCGGCTGAGACATAGTGGATGCGAGTCGATTTCAGATGGTGGGGGCTTGGGACGCCACTCCTGCTGGGATATTGGTCTTATATATGTGTCTGACTGGATATTTTGCCACCGTCCGCTCTCATGATGTCCAAGTGTCACGGGTCACAACTTGCAAGTAAAGACGTGACTAATGGGTTTATCATTTGAACTTCTCGGGCATCGATACAATAGTGCCCGAGATTTTACACAACCGCGGTGGGTCGTGCATGATCACAGACAAGCATATCGAGCATTGAAACCACGGGCAAAATCGGTATGCCTGGTTCTTGCGCTCACCGCTAACACACTGCAAAGAACAAAGTTATAGGCTGGGCGTTTGCGAACTTGGGAGGCGTCGCCGTCTTCTTGAAATTACCTTTTTTGGGAACTTCTTGTATGATCTCGGGTTACATAATAGAGACCTTGCGAAATAGAAATCGTGCCAGATTTTTGTGCGATATAGAAATTCGGGCTCGCTAAACTGTGCTCCACAACCAAATGTGGTCAGAAGTTTGTGTCAATTGCATCATTTACACGGTTTAGCGCGATTTGAAATGTATATCGCACAGAATTTTGGCTGCGTTTCTATTTCGCAAGGTCTCTAATTACGGGCACTACTGTATTTGGTCGCAATCTGTGACCATGCCGGAAACAAACAACATGGAAGCTTTTCTCCCACTCACCACCACCGAGATGGCAGAAGCAGAGTCGGACATACAGCTCCCGCCACAGCCACAGGCATCCATATTCCAACGAGTATACCACAGCATCGGCCTCCATACATTTTTGAGCTCCCCTAAAGACATCAAAATCCTCTTCTTCCAACGCTTCGTCCGGCTTTTCGCATATGGCCAATCTACGCTCATCCTCACGCTCTATTTCGGCCGCTTGGGAATCGATGACGCTCATAAAGGCCTATTCATGTCACTGACGCTTTTCGGAGATATGCTTATTTCATTTTGCCTTACACTCGTGGCCGATTCTCTGGGGCGGAGGAAGATCCTCGCTCTGGGTGCAGTCATGATGGCGGGAGCGGGGGCAACCTTTGCCCTGGCATCTAACTTTTGGATCCTACTTGCGGCCGCTATCATTGGAGTGATCAGCCCGAGGTGAAGCTACTGTATTCCATCATCTAGCACACATATTCACGTGGGAACTTCATCAGCAAAACGCAGTGACGCTAGTACTACCCTATCGCAGACCAAAATTATTGTACGCGATTACAAGCTAATATAATACAGATATTAGCATTTAATCAAGTGAGAGACATTTGAGTGTATATAAGACTTACAAGTTGTAGGCAGGCAAGTCACAGTGCCCATAAGATAATAATGTATAACCGGCTAGACTTTTGAAGGCCTTGTAAGCGGTCGTAAGACATGTGAGGTCCTTATATATGAATAAAATGCTTTCGAGAAGCTGGCATACCCCTTGATGGCCTTTTGCACGAATTTAAGACTTGTGAGGAAGGTGCACGCGGCTAAAATCCCTAGTAAGATACATCTCATCTCATGTTAAATCTGGTGGGATGCATGCGCAGCCAGCTCGACGTTTATGTGTCCAAAAACACTGGTGAGCTCTCACTAGAAGCTGGCGCAGGCACTTCCCGTGGCTCCGCTCGCCCACCGAAGCCAACTATCGAACATAAACACGCCACCGGATCCAATCCCCAAGCCTTGTGTCAACCAGCGTCAACCACGTTCGCGCTATTGGAATATTCGCTTTCGCGCCTCAGCGCCACACTTTCGCGCACTGAAGCCACAACCAACGGAATCTCATCAATTACTCGCTCGTCAATTGATCCAGAAACCAACCACAGGTGGCAGCAGCATCGATCGGCACAGCGGCCAGCCCGAGAAATTCATGGCTCCTACGCAGCATTCAACGTTTAATACTTGTGTGTGGGCGTCACTGGACGCCTTTATCTCTGGCTACCGAATCTCTCCGATGGCATCTCGCTGCTCACAAAAGCGTTGCGGAAACTTGGCCGCTTTCAAGGTGTCAAGCGTTTGAATGAGGATTCTGTTTGCCACGACTCTTCAGCGTGCCGCACTATGTATATAACCCTACCACCTCGCGGCCACTCTCCCCCAACACTTGTCCTCTCCCCTCATCTTCCCCTTCTCACAGCTCTCCTCTCGACCGCCCTCGAACTTGCGCGCCTAAGGTTAGTGGAATGGCTTGCCCTGCGTAATTACACCATATTAATCTATCGACCATTTTTACTTCTCACGACCCAGCGTGCTCCATTGTCTATACCATTGTAATGTCCCCCTTTTCCTCAATTACTCACCTTTTTAAATCTAGCTCTGTATACCCTCCAACCCTCCCCTTCAACTCCCACTATTAACGCCATTTCTACTCCCACTACACCATCTCGAACCGACCACGACGTTAGCGCGATAATAAGTAGCGCAGTATTTCAATGGCCGCAAGCCGCGAGGCAGATGCCATATGTGTACAATAGCTTAAATAGAATCTTATCTCTACACCATCCTGGCCGCTATCGCCGGCAGCGATTTTATATAAAGCAACCAGCGTTTCTGAGAAAAAAAGCCAGCCTGCGGATAGTAAAGCTGTCGTACACCTCGCCAGCGAATACTAGCGCTGTGAGTGACATATATATTGTGAAAAAAATATTAGGCTTTCAGCGCGTGTCTATGTACTCGCTAGGACAACGGGCTCATAAAAGCTCGCCAGTCCCATTACATGCGGGGTGTAAGATTTGCGCAGCTTGTAAACCTACTAGATGTTCACATGGCAAGTGTGCCGCATGTCATATTTCTCGCAGTTACAAGCAGGTTATAAGCACCATTATAAGCCTTACGGTGCTAGTACCTCTTGCAGCCATTATAACTGCTTATATGCATAATCAAAGCACCCAGGTGTTTCGCTGATGTTATTCTCAGTGGGAACGAAATTGGCCCATTTCGTGCGATCGAAGAGAGTACGCTAGCGCAGCTGACTCCCGCGGAAGTACGGAGTGATATATTTGGCTGGTACGCTCTGACGGGGGCATTCGCAGCTGCCCTAGGAAACCTTTCATGTGGATGGATCGTCCACGTGTTGCATACCGTCTACGAGTGGGACTTGCTTCGTGCCTACCGAATGATTTATTTACTTTATACCGGTTTCGCACTGCTCAAACTGCTCCTCACCGCCATCCTCTCTGCTGAGTGCGAGGCTAAAGTAGTTAAGCCGCGTGCCGAGGCACTTCCCGCCCACGAGCAGACACCTCTACTCGATGGGCAACAGCCTCCGACTGCCGCTCCGAGAAGAAGCTTCTTCCCTCATATTTCACCCGAGTCTAGATCTATCCTGCTGCAACTCTCTCTCATTATGGGACTCGATAGTGCAGCCTCTGGGGTGGCTAATTCGTAAGCATGCAAACCCCTCCGCAGTATCCCGCAGCTCATCGGTACATATGTGAATCCGAAGGTCGTGGATAACATACTATTTCGCAAAGACATTCTCTGTGGATCAAAGTACACTCGGAATCATATTCTTCACTACCAACCTCGTCACTGCTCTGAGCAGCCTTGCAGCCGTGTCGATATCCAAGAGGATCGGACTCGTCAAAACGATGGTGTTTACGCACCTTCCCTCGGCGATCTTCCTTGCACTCGTTCCGGTATTCCCCGGCCTCGCGCCGGCGCTGACGTTCCTCATACTGAGGAGCTCCCTCGCGCAAATGGACGTTGCACCACGCAGTGCGTTCATCGCTGCGGTTGTCTTACCAAGCGAGCGAACGGCAGTCATGTAAGTGCGCCTTGTTCAGCGGGTCCTATTCTCCAGACTGAATCTACGAACGGCGGGCGACGGATCCAGGGGATGGGTCAATGTTGTCAAAACGTGTGCCCAAGGCATCGGCCCCACCATTACCGGCTGGCTGGCATCCACGAATCATTTCGGGGTATTCTTCATCCTTGCGGGTTGCATGAAAGCGACCTATGATCTGCTCATACTTGTTGTATTCTCGAGAGTGAGGACGGATCGGGAGGGAAGGAGGTTGTGATTTGTGAATCCTGAAAACGACTATGCTCACAAGTGATAATCTAAAAATGGCGAAGGGGGTTGCAAATGGGGCGGGGGGGGATACTTATTACGATAGGCACAACTGTTGAGATCTGGCCCGGGTACACCCAATCAGCTGGACCAAAGGCGGGAGTGGGCTGACGGCCACCCGTCCTCTCCCAGCGCGAACAGTTTGTGAATCTAGCGTCACGCATGTCGTGGAGCACGTGCCCCTGCGCATATGCCACCGCTTATGGTAAGACACAATGGCCGAGCGGTCCAAGGCGCTTGTCCCGGATTTTATAGATATCAAATCCGGTTTCTGGATGTAGGTTCAAGCCCTGTTCGTATCGAGCTTTTCGCCTAGCCCTGGTCTGTCCTTTGGGTAAAGCCACACAGGACGCCGAGGAGGTACTCGGCTTGCGCAGGACCTATCCACCACTCATGGCGACATCCCCTGCTGTGCATGTAGATGTACGGAATCTCTTCATAGTTGCTTCTAATAATCGCCGAAAATAAGTACTGCCCCGACTTACTCCCCCCAGATCGCAGAGCAGTAGGGCGCGTGTGAGCAGAAGACAAATGTGACCCCAATAAACGCCCGCTCTGCTGCGCAAGCTAATATTCTGGATAGCGGAAGGCTACCGTATTTTGTCCAAGTACTAGTAGAAAAGTTCTCTCGAAAGTCAGCCCGCGTCGAGTAAGCAAAGGTTCAAGATGGCTCCGATTGGCTGTGCCTTCGTGTAATAGTAAGGCAATGGGAGATAGATGAAGGCGCCCAGACCACGTCCGGATGCGCTTGAGCGCCCGGGAATGCGTGTAAAGCGGTTATTATTACTGCAGCTTAAGAGCAGAACTTCGAGACTAGTCGTAAGATGTACTAGTCGCGAATGCTAGCCGGCGCCCTAAGGCCCGTGTAGTATTCGTAGAGCCTGGGGACGAGGGTTGTACAGGATTTCTTATCGTTAGATAGATTCCCGGAAGAGCGGACAATAGTTGCGCAAGTAGGATTGGGTGTGGAAGCCAGTCGCGGATGCGCGTTGCAGCAAGACACGTGCGGAAACAGCACCATGAGAAGGACCTGCGTCTGACTGTGGCAAATTGAGATAGGCGGTGGCTCAAGAAGTGTGGCGTGGTTTGGAGAATTCGAAGGCGTGAGTAAAATCCGGGGCATTCGTCGGGAGCTTGCTCAAGAAGATCAGAAGCACGCTGTCACAGATCGGGGGCGGTTAGAGACATCTTGATTTCTTGCGCGTTTGTTACCTCGAGCGCGACGTTGAGTAGAAGCGGACGCCAACGTCCAAACTTAGCCTTTGATCGAGAGTCAAGGCAACCAGGGGTAGCGGGAGCTGAAAGGAGCTGAATTGTGCTCGTCGCTAACGAGATGTGGACACTGGATAGAGACCCCAAGAACTTTGTCTTTCGAAATTCGGACACGAGCCAGACTGGGGGAAACCCCGAAACAATGACAGAGTAGACCAGACAATCAGGTGGTATCGATCGACGGTAGTCCCGGACGACAGCTTACCAAGGTCGCTCCACTTTGGCGGTTCAAACGTTGTTCCAGCTGTTTGTGGTCGTCTCGGTAAGTAGCATGAAGAGCTGGTACGATAGCGTGACAGCAGAGCAAGAAATTCCCAAGGCCAGCGGAGAAGCAGGCTCAGAGAACATGTTCGCACAGGCCGAGCTTCTGCAGTACTTGAGTCCAGTGGGAGAGCGCCAGCAGGAGGATCGAGTTGCCGCGACAGGAAAAGCCTCGGCAGCGATTTGCATCCGCCGGCGCCCCGCTTGCAAGAAAGGGATTACGTAAGTAGGACTGGGCAACTTGAAGTCGCAGCACTTCCACGGTCCACGGGCGTGCACGCACCCAGTCGACCCCAGTCCTCGAGGAGCCCAGCGCCCTCCCGCGTTTGTCTGTTCTTTCCACGCCGGCCTGTGCGAGGAAGACTCGCTGCGTTTCCCAGCGTCTCGGTGAGCTCACAGCTGCAAGCTGCGATCGCAGTGGCGCATAAGCGGCAAGTGGATTACTCATTGCATCAAAAAACGTCAGGGATCGTTCTTTGCTCCCCCCCAACCATGTTCTCCCCGCGTCGCTGCCTCGGCACCGCCGTCCTCCTGCTCGCCCACAATGTCGCAGGACAGTCCTCCATCACCCTCAGCTTCCCCGCGAGCAGCCCAACGCCGACCGCCACACCGACGCTCGGCATCTATCCGCTCATCAACTCCTTCACATGCCAGCCGCTGACCGTGCAGTGGTTCTGGAATGCCGCGCTCACCGCGAACAACTCCAACCCCAGCATCGCGCTCCAGATATCCAACACCGGCGTGCCACAGGACACGCCTGGTGCGTCGGGCTCCATCCCACCCACACCCAATCCTGGTGTGAACGCAACGATACAGAGTGCGTTCCCACTCACCGCCCAGTCGTTCATGTGGCCGAGTGTGACGGTCCCCGCTGGGTGGTATGTCGTCAACGCGTGGATGACGCCCGACCAAGTGGGCTTTGCGCAATCCCCGCGATTCCAGATCGCCACGGGGCCCGATACGTCATGTTTGATATCTACAGCGGCCGCTCCATCGCCTGCCATACCTTCCTCTGCGCCCACCGCGGTGGTGCCCGATCCTGACCCGTCAACGACGCTCGTCCCAGCTGCACTCGCTGCATCCCACGCGAAGCTCGGCAAAGGTGCCATCGCGGGGCTCGCCGTGGGAGTTGCGCTGGGCGTAGCCGCGATCATCGCTGCGCTGCTTTACATGTGCCGACGAAACGGGCGCTGGCTCAACCTCTCCGGTTCACCCGAAACCTCAAGTCCTACGCATGCTCTGGCAGGATGGAAGACTACCTCGGGCGCGACGCCCCAGAGGCCGGCATCTAGATCCGCCCCCGGACGTACCAGCGCTCCAGGATCCTTGAGAAGGGACTCGGATAACAGCACGCTTACGGCCGTCACAGACGACTCGTGGCACGATACGAAAATGGTCGACAGCGCGCCCTTTACTATGACGCTCACCACCGTCCCGCCTCTCCCATCGCCCCCACCTACAACCCGAAGAGTAGAGCGGAAAGGCAGCCAGAACGACGAACAGAGTCCTGTTTACTCAAGACACTCATACTCCCATTCCCGATCCCATTCACAGTTGGAGGCACATTCGAGACGCTCAGTTGATATCGACTCGATCGGGAACATCCGTAATCTCTCCCGGGCACCCAGCGCGCGATACGTATCACCTTCCGCGTACCCCAATCCTACTCCCAATCCAAATCCCAATTCCAGTTCCAATTCGATTTTGAAATCGAACCCGGCCTCCACACCAGTGGCGGCGAAGCCCTCGCTCTCGCGCAGGAACTCGGGCGCATCCACCGGGAACAAGCTCGCACGGAAGCCCGTTCCTGCGTACGTCCCCTCGCCCTTTGACGAGCCCGAGTCCGCGGGTACTGGTACGGACGGAGAGCACGGATTTACGTCGAGCTCTGCGGGGAGTGCGAGCACGCTCGCGCATGTGGGCGCCAAGTTCAATGGGAACTTTGGCGGGAGTGGGAATGGGGTTGCGTCTGGGAGGCCGGGATTCAAGTTTGCCGGAGAGAAGGCGGGCCCGGTGCATTATCTCATTCCGGACCCACCGGCGCCTCAGCGCGATTAGGAGGGTCTGGTCGAATGAACGAACAGGTCTTTTGTGAGTCTCTTGCCGCGCCATTATCTTCTCTGTATGAAACGCGCTGATGATCAGCCCCTTATAGTCCCATTGTCTCCACCCATCTTCAATGCCAGTTTATCCCTGTGACTCCGTAACGAGGACTTTTCAATGTAATTTACGAGGTTTTTTGGTGTTTTGCAAGCCCGTCTGTCTCCTTCCTCTGTTTCGTTTTTTTGGCTCTTCGCTCTCGTGAGAATTATTCGGGCTCTCTCTCCCCTTTTCTTCTCTTCGCCACAGCTGCAACTCCCCGCTTTGTTCTTCAGGGTGATCTGATTTTTGCGCCTCGCCACCCTTCACATTTAGGTACACTCCCCATCGTCTCCTTCAGTCCTTCTTCGAGTCTCACCAGTATCCGCCCTTAGCTGCAGTACCCGTCCCATTCGGCCGTCGTCCCCAAACAACCACTTTTCCCATTAACGTTAATCCTTGTCACAGCAGTTCCCCCCCTTCACTTCGCCTTCTCCCAAAGCAGCGCTTTGTTGTTTGCCCTTGATGTTACACTGACCTTCTCACCATTGCCTTCTTTTTCACACCGCACCCACGCTCAGTACTTGCCCACCGCTCTCTCGGATAGGGGAAGATCCCCATCACTCGACACGCGTCTCACGTCTCGCCTCGTGGCCGTCCGGGGCCTCTCTCTTTCTCCTTATCCACTTGCACTCTGCGCGTTTGTGTTTGTAGCACCTATTACTTACCTACGATATCAAGTATGGGGGAAAAACTATGCCCAAAATTATGCCAAGACTCAATATTCTCCTCTTGCCTTTGGGGGAAGCCCGAAATACTTAAAGCAGTAGGGCTGAGTAGATGGGTTTGTGGCGTAGTGGTTATCGCGTCTGTTTTACACGCTTGTGAACACAGAAGGTCGCAGGTTCGATCCCTGCCAAGCTCACGTTTTTGCTCTTGCTTTCGAATGCTGAGAGGTTTTATTGTCAACCTTGAACCTTTTTTTCCAGAGTTTTGCAGCACTGATACTCGCTTGTAAGGCAGCTCGAAGATTACTTGGAACCATTGCCGTCCTAATCGAAGAGTGGTTTTTCCGACTCCGGCGTTGCCGTTATGATGCAATTACGTAACATTATACTCAACGCCAGACCCACAGGTACGGGCTAATAGCCTTGGCGCCGCCGGTCGACAACAGGCATTCTCTATCAATGACGTCAATAAAAAAAGATCATTGCCGTCAGCGGGGCATTGCAAAACGTTCCGCTCTGGGTGTTGTGGAGTATTTCTGCCTCTGGGTCAAGTCCTCAGGGCGGACGTCTGATCGCGGTTTCGAGCCACTATGATTGCAGGGTTTGTGGCGTAGTGGTTATCGCGTCTGTTTTACATGTTTGTGAACACAGAAGGTCGCAGGTTCGATCCCTGCCAAGCTCACGCTTTTGCTGCTGCTGCTGTCTAATCCGCCTTCCGCCTCTCCGCAAGGAAGCGATACATGAACCTGCGGTGCACCGTTCTGTCCTTTTGGTATCACCGAAGGGGCAAGGAAGCTTTATATAGCATTTGAGAATGCGACTGGGGAGACATCTAGCCGAATTCACCCCCTCAGCAGAGCTCTCGGCCAGTCTCGATACCACCTAAATTTCGCATCCGGCTTGGTGTAGACGAAGGCCGTAAGGAGCTTTGACGCCCGATTCTGGTCGACAGGACACCTTCAGGAGACACGCACCGTGCATTTAGACTATCGTCCCTCGGTCGCTTCGCCTTGCGACCTCTTGCGGTTTAGGATTCCACTCTGTGTGCGGCGACGGGCACGAAACGTTTGCTGCGTGCGATTCCGCTGGAGGGAATTGAGATGATTTATGAAGCCGCCGCCGTACTTGAGTATCTGACTGCGTTTTTTTTCACGTGGTAGAATTGATGGTATTTATGAGGATAATGCACAGATAAACAAAACTCCGAGGTTGTCTGGGAGCCAAGAGCTGGCCTTGGATATATTTTGGTGCGTGGTTATGATTAAAATAACCACGGTCCGACTATTCGATGGATCGCAGTTGGCTGTAATCAGTGCATGTCTAAGATATAAGAGGACAAAGGGAAGGCTCCCACCTCGACCCCTCGCTCCTTCCGGCCGGATCTGTAAGCAACTTTGGTGGATCAGATTCAGCGCCTTCACTGCGTCCCGCCCGTCAATCACACATGAGATATTGATCTCGGACGCCCCCTGACTAATCATCTCGATGTTTACTTTCCCCTCGGCAAGCGTACTGAACATCCGGCCCGCGATCCCCAAGAGGTTCTTCATCTGTTTGCCGACCAATGAGAGGATGGCCATGTCGTGATGCATGGTCACCTAAAGGAGAATGAGAAAGATTGGTCCAATGTGGTTTATGTTCAAGAGAGCAGTGCGAGACCAGGTACAAGAGAAGGACGTACGGTGCCCGACTTTCCCAGCTCCCTGGCCAGCCGGTCTAGCCTTCTCCTCCCTCCGCTCGCGGCTCCATTCTCAATAGCCATGCTCACTTGTACCTCGCTGGTGCTGATGAGGTCGACCACTATGCCGAACCTGTCGAGCGTCTCGAATATCCGGGCTAGAAACCCGTGCGAGATCGTTTTTCGATTCGAGTGGACATTAAGGATAACGATGCGGTCCTTGATGGTCACAGCTGTAGGGAGCTTTGGCATGAGTTGGCTTGAGGCGTCTGCGAGCGCGGCCGCGGCCACGGTAGTGAGAGTCTGCAGGGCTGGGAGTGACGTCACAGCTGTCTGCAAGGGGTCGATTATTTCGCCCGGCGTGGATGGTGTGGGTGGTACGCGCACGGTATTAAGATCCGGGTTAGGGTGGATGACTGTCCCCCCGCCCCGTGGGTTTTCCACGTTCTTGATCCGGATCGGGATATTCTTGCGGATAACCTACCCCAGAAAATCAGACAAATTTTTCCGTCTGGTTCCACGCGTGCGCCGAGAGCAGGTTGGGGGGGACAGACGTACTTGTTCCATCGTAAACGGGTGAACAACCTCGCTCCCGTAGTACGTCAGCTCCGCAGCTTCTTCGGGCGATATGATGGGAATCAATCTCGCGGTGAGCACTTTTCTTGGATCCGCAGTGAAAATCCCGTCGACTTCTTTCCATATCTGTAGCTCGCTCGCGCCGAGGCCGACAGCGAGGAGAGCGGCGAGTAAGTCGGTGTAGCCTCGTCCTACCTGGCGGAGTAAAGATCCAGGCACGGGGCCAAAAAATCCTATGTAAACGCATTATACAGCGGATATAATCACTGAGATCCACAGTCCGAGAATTGCAATTATGCGGGCGTACCTGTGACGATAGGGACTCGCGAGCCACACTGTAATACCCGCTCTCCGACAGCAACCGAAAGCCGGTCATAAAACTCTTGGTCGAGCTGGACGTCATCAGGCCCGTGCCCGCGACGAATAGCAGAGTCGTCGTCATCCATGGGCGGTACAATATTCTCCAATGATACGACCTCCGAGTCGATACCCTAGCGTGAACAAGCATAATCAAGAGTAGTCAATAAGTCGGGACGTATTGGAATCGAAATTAGGATTAGAAAGGGCTTGTTAAAACACGGTGAGCCAGGGGCAAATTTAATCATCAAGACCGAGACACGGGGCCGATAAAACTCGGTCTTACCCTCGATGGAGCCGAATACGAGGGCACAAAGTACGAGGATGAAAAAAAGGATTCAGAAACTCACCCTATCCCGGAGAACTGTTGCCACAAGTTTACAGGCTAGTCGCTCGCCAGCTCCCACAAGGATATCGCGAGACCGAGGAGAGATTTCATCGATCACCTACGTTTAAAAGCCACAGTAACAGAGCCAAAGGGTGAGTATTTAACACGCTAAAAAGTATAATATAGTCGGGGCAGGGACCGTGAAGATGCGATGTCGTAATATGCGATGGGGGCGGCCAATGGGGCAGAATAAATCGCACCTGAGCCGCAAAGAGGAAGCTCCGTAAGCCTTCGCATTCTCCCTCTATTTCTTCAACGAGCTGGCGCAGGAGATCCGGATCACGAATCGTGAATCGGGCTGCGCCGATATGTTCTGAGCGAATGAGGTCTATGGTTTGGTTATAGGACGAGGGCACGGCACTAGCACTAGTCTGCTGTTTGGTAGGGGATGTTACACTAGAAGGGAGCACAGAAGGAGGACTGGAAGGTGAAGGTGATTTGGATTGGGAGGGTGTTCTCGAAGGTGAAGCAACGGACGACATCTTGAGGTCTCCAAAAGTACCCCTCGAATGTGACGTTCGAGAAGGCGGACGTCCAAAGAGTCCATCCGACGGAGTCCGGGCACCAGGTGTGTATGATGAAGAGACATTGCCCGAGGGCCGAAGTGCCTCGGTGGCAGCGCGCAGGAGCAGATTGGTTGTCCCAAGGCTTTTCGTAGATCCTGAGCGTGCAGAGCAGACTACAGCTACCTTGTGCTGGTCAAGATAAGCGCTATCGTGTGAAAAGGCCATGAGCCCGACTTGGGAATGGTACGATCGATAGCTGGAGTGCGCACGGAACGATGACCTCTGCAATCTGAGCAGCAAATTTTCCCACGCTGGTGCCACCAAATTTTTGCACCAGCCATTTCGAGGCTGGATCGATCGAGTTCTGGTGGAGGCTCGGTGGAGTTGGTGGTGAGGGTGTGTCGGGTGCCGAGTCGACGGAATCGGGCGGCGACGACGAGGTCGGCGTGGACGCCCCAGACATTTTTCCTGCGAAGATGGCCGTTGAGGATCACACGAGCGGGGAGGGTCCGTGCGACGACAAAACAGCGCGAGTCATTATGGTCGGGGCTCCAAGCCGTGGCGCAATAGGCTCGCCAATTGGACGTGTCGCGCTTACATAAGTATCCCCTCCAAGCTGAAAGCTTCCTTCACCACTACCATCACCACCATCCTCGATATCGCTATCGCCGTCGTCGCCGGCGTTGGCGATCGCGCGCGCATCTGGCATACGACTGGAGATGGATGTTTTCGGGGTGTCCATCCCCATTCTCCTCGCCGGATGTGTCTCTTGAAAAATGATGTGCGGCTAAAGACCGAGGGCACTCACCAGGCTACAAAAACTCCCGAGCCCTCGCCTTGTTAATTCATACGCTCGCTTACGGCCCTTTCCTCGAACTAGGTCGACAAGGGGTCTCATATTGCCATACCTTGCTCCCTTTCTTCCCCCCCCCCTCCCCCCCCTAAAATGCAGTGTGGAATTTCCGAGAGAATACAGCATCGCATCTACTGACGCTTTGGAGGCTAACACCGCCGAATCTCATTCAGCTCAACAATACTATTGCAGCTTACCCTGGCCACCATTGTGCAATCGGACTTGGGGCACCACCCCGCAATCTCCTGCCTCCTGAACGGACAACAAAATTGCCAGACCTTACCGAAGGAAGAAGATTTTAGCTTTCTCGATCGCCGCGGAAAGGGAGCTATCAGCTCGAAAATTAACGAACTTGAAAAATGTGCAGCCTCGAGAGACTCAAGAGATCACCGATAACCGAGTATTCTGCAATTCAAATATATTTTCTTTGTTCTCCGGATATGCCTCTAACCGAATCACCATACAGCTAGATGAAGATCAGCAAGAAAGGACCAGTAAAACTGGTGGATAACGCCTCCTGGGGTGTAATACCCACGGGTCTTATGACACGCTGCGCTGGGGGGTTTCTTGCTCTGCCCTCCGAGTGACTCTGTTTTGGCTCGGATCTCCTTGACGCGGAGTCGAATGGATGCTTGTTATAGCGATATTCCACCCCATATGGTTACGTTTCACTTTGCTGCAGCGAAATGCCTACGCATCTACGCAAGCTACCGCCCAAACGACACTATGAGGCTAGGAATCTGACGCAATAACTCACTCGGCCTCCGATGGATGTATAGTCCGCGGTCGAACGAAAGATTGTGCACAGCTAACCCTTGCTTTGAGACCCCCATAACCGG